ATTCTATTTATGTCTCTGTGAGTATTGATGCATTTCTGCGGGTATGTATATCTGTGCGTATCTAAATGCCAGTGTGTTTGTGCATGTCTGAATGTGTGCGTGTGTGCGTGCTTGTGTTGGTGACTGCTTTTATTAGCGTATGTCCTGTTTAAATACGCGCAGACACTGACGCTTTTAACATGCAACATATTTGTGAAAAGAATGTGAATATATTTTCCTCACTATCAATTTTTTCTTCTTTTTTTTTTTTTAAAGCAATTAATTCGACCAAAATAGCACATAAGTGACTAAACGGTTGAGAATGTTGTTGATGTTGTCTGATCTCCGTGCGCCATGTTGCTGGTCAGTCAAACCACGACTTACCTCCCCTCAACTGATCACCGCTCTGAGAATGTTTCGTCGATGTGGTCACTTCAAATAAAGTCGTTATTATATTAGTAAAAAAAAACAAAAAAAAACAACTTTTCTTTATATTTGTATTCCATTTTATTCTGTTTATTCAAATGTTTTTTCTCTCGATGTTTTTAATTATTTAATTTGTTTATTTACTTTTTGCTGTAAATGAAGTTTCTCCTAATTTTTTTATTTAATTTGCTTATATCAGCTAAACACTGGTCACCGAGGCCGTGTAATGGTTAGCAAGCTTGTTTCACTATGACAACATACGACTGATTAGTGAGTTGGTTCCTCACTGGGTACCCCGCTACTTTCGGCCTTGTGCCACATCTATGCTAGACTTGGAGAATCACTATATCAATTAAACGTAATAACTTTTGGAATTTGTGATGAATTTGACACGGTTTAAGAAAATTTGTCTGTAAAAAATATTAAAGTTGCAAATTATGGATTCACATTCATTAAAGAAAAAAAATAATTGACAAAATATTGTAGCGAGAAACATACATATAATAATAAAATAAACACAATAATAAAAACGTAATAATCTAATAAACATCCATCACAATAACATACACGAAGCAGAATGGATCTATAATAATAAAACAAAAAAATTATACTAGCAATAAATATACATTAGTAGAAAAGTTACTAAAAGGTGAGAAACAAAATGTACCAAATATATATAGTCATTCACATAAACCGTTTCACAGTTTTTCACTGTGACTAGACGGCTGTTGCCTCGAGCTGGAATCGAAACCCGGCTGAATAGGGGTCAATCAGGAATTCTACCACTAAGCCTTTGGCGCAAGGCAGGGACGAAGACGAATTTTAGCGTATTTATTTTTAGATAAACACTCAGTAAGTGAGCGGACTCGATTCGCTTTACCGAAGAGTTTTGGTATAATAGCCGTAATAGTTACTGTTAATAAACTCACTTCCTCCCCCAAAGAGCTCAACCGAAATAACTTTATAAAAAAATATACATTTATATATATATATATATATATATATATATATATATATATATATATATATATATATATGAATATATATATAAAAATTCACAAAAGGATTGAATCAGGTAGAACTCAATGTCTAGGACAGAGTAAGAATATTGGGAAAAGGCTCAAACACAAATATATTCCATTGTTATAATTTATTACATTGGAATCGTAATCACAATCAATTCATCAGACCTACAAATATATATATATATATATATATATATATATATATATATATATATATATATATATATAAAAGAAAGAACAGTAAGATATATAATCCGGTGTTCTTATAGATATTTTTATTTTTACAAAATAGTGCTCAATGTAAATTTACAGAGCAAACACCACTTGTCTGGTTGAATTGGAATTTTAAACCCAGTAATTTTAAAAGTTACTCCAAAAATTCGCTTGAGGATGAAATGGAACTAATGTCTTTAATTTAATTAGAAAAATTAAATTATATAGACTTTCAGCTTCTATTTTTTGAAAATGGATTTAGAACTTTGTAGCGAAAAAAACATATTTTAAATCAATTAATTTTAATAATACATATACATATATATATATATATATATATATATATATATATATATATATATATAGATAGATAGATAGATAGATAGAAATTTATCATATATATATATATATATATATATATATATATATATATGATAAATATCTGTTTCAACGACAGGTACCTATCAGCTCATGATGCAATTGTCAAATTAGTACCTGATCTGAAACATAATCTGCAATCTCTTGTTAATATTCTTTCTTTCTTTTTGTGTGCCATGTCCTTTCAGGACGCAAGCGATCATGGCTCTGCATCTCCCTCTATCCCTTGAAGCTGTAAACAAGTTCCTTCCCTCTGCTTCCTCCACCCCCAGACCACGTTCTGTCATCCACTTGCTTAAGTCCACCAGATATGTCACATATTGTTTTCCCCTGTCTCTCTTTCCCTCTATTCGACCCGTGACAAATCAGATTCTCTAGGCCCCCTTTCTCATTATGTGTCTCAGAAACTTCATTGCCTCTTCCTATACATTAAGTATAATGTGTATATTGTTTGCATATATTACTCGTTTCATACGCTCGGTTCATGATATCCACAGCATCCTTCTGTAGAACCACATCTTCGTTGCCTCTAGTTTCTTCTTTATCTTTGAGAAGACCTCCAACATTCGCTGTTGTAAAGAAGGACAGATGTCACGTCACAGCTCAGTATTTTTTTTCTTTGTTACCAAAGAAATCCTCCTGTCTCGCAGTACTCTGCCCAGCCTTTTGGAATATGTCTTTGGCCATCCCAACATGTCTAGACGCTTCCCAGATATTTAAATTCCGCGTCTGCTTGATTCTAGTGTTCCCGGTCTTCAAATCGCATTTCGGGCTTATCCTCTTACTGGCGACTATGCATTATTTCTGCCTTTCATCAATATGGCTGATGTTAACCTCCAGGAGTGTGACTCATTGCGCTTTCTCGGCTAACAAGAAGCAGAAAATATTTATAAGTCTTACCATTCGTTCATGCATTGAATATTACTGCCACATCTAGTCTGGTGCTTCTGTTATACATTCAGATATTCTTGATAACATCCAAAATATAATCTGCAATGTTATTGGTCCTGACTTGGCATCTCACAACCAGTCACTTTAATACCTCTGTAATGTAGCTTCCCTGTGCCTTTTCTATAAATACATCCATTTTTTTTTTTTTTACAGCGAAGGTCAAACGACACTTGAGGTAGAGGGTTACGTTTGGGGATCATTTGTGTGTATAGAATTGAAAGATAACGGTTATCCCTACGAACAGGTTAAGATTGTAGTGATCGTGGAAACATTCTGTTGGGAGTCGGTTCAACCCGTCAGTGGGTCGCGGGAAGGTGCTGTTCGATTGAAACTTCATTCTCACCGATGAAATACGTAGAGAATGTGCGTGGTTTGCTATTATGTAAGTGGCATGGCGTGTGAAGGTTTGCCTCGGCGAGACCAGGGAATGTAGTTCGTCTATGCACTTTTCTTAGAAGTAACGGTAGAACAGCAAGAGGCTTGACACATCCCCCCCACCCACGTGACAGTGAAGTTGAAATGTGGAGAATAATTCGTCACCTACAAAAACTCGGAGACGCTTTTGAACTCTATAAACGCTGGAGAGTAATGTCTGGCCAGCTCCCGCCCAAATATGGCGACAATTCTTCATTGTGAGCCTGATCCGGCATTTGTAAAGGTAGAGGATGAAAGGAATTGTTCTGGTGTACTTTCCTTTATGGTACACAGTTTTTATGAATTTAAGCGCAGTACTAGATTGGCGGTAAGGTCTCATCATTTTACAATTGAAATGCCTAGATGTAACCGCAAGTTTTATGCTGATAGTTTCTTCTATAGCACATCTCGCTTTTGGAGCTCTCTTCTCGTATCTTTCGTTCCAGCCAACTTTGATTTTCAAAAAATTAAATGCAATGTCAACCATCATTTTCTGTTTTCTTAATTCCTGTTATTTTATTGTTCTCTCGCATTAACAATATTTTCCTCATATTCTCTAACACTCAGCAAACCCTTAGGTCTTAGTGGCTTTATCAGCTTGCTTGGAGGTGAATTGATTAGAAAACAGTTTTAAGGTATTCTATATTTATGGGTATCAGAAACAGGGCATATGTTTTATAACCACGTACATACATGCATATATATATATATATATATATATATATAAAATACAATAATAACAAAAAAAAAAAATAAAAAATTAAATATATAGGTATATATATATATATGTATATATATATATATATATATATATATAAATATTCATTATGTACGAATAATATATATATATATATATATATATATATATATATATGTGTGTGATTTATGTATATATTATTTATATATTATAAATGTGCGTTACCTAATGGAAAGCGCACAATATCAGTGATAGAGCTTACATACTTAGTTTTATAGATGTAAGTATAACTATATATATATATATATATATATATATATACTTAGTCATATTTACATTCATACAACTGAAATCAGACGTCCCTATCGAAATATTTCTGGCACTTAAAAGAGACCAATTAAACACCTACAGTAAAATGGAAATTAATAAGAAAAGCTAAAATATGTAGGTCACTAAATGACCCATGTCTTTTGTGCATACATGAGAAACTATAGATTAATAAGTTTATAAAAAATAAAAATTTACTGAGTCAAAGAAATGAAAAAGCTATTCTTTGCCGACATTTTCAAAAACCTTCCTTAAATAATATTAAAAAAAAAATTGGGAGCTTTTAATATACATACTTATTTTGATATGTAATAATAATTTTTAAATTCAAGTAATTCTATTACATTTATTTGTTTTAAAAAGAAATATAGTCTACTAGTAATTAAGAGTAAAAATAATATTTTAAAATTGGAGTTCAATATAACGTATTCTAACACCCCGTTTTTAGAAAGAATATTTATGTATACAAGTACGAATTTAACGGAAAAAAATGCCGAAAAACATTTTCTCATTGATAAAAAAAAACAGACGACATGCGTTGAACGGATATCAAAATTCGTTGAAAAATGCACTCCTACCCTCCCTAAACTTAATCTCTTTTTCGAACGTAACTCATAATTGATACACTAATCGTTAATAAAAATGAACACGCTACAGCCCCTGTCTAAAGGATTTGATTTCTCTGTATCCTTGGAAACAAATAATTATGAGTTATATGTGCGTTTACAACTCAGTAAATTTAAAAATAAGTTATTACAAAATTCGCTTGAAGATGAAACATAACTAATGCTTTTAATTTAATTATATAATTAAATTTGAAGTTTTTAACTTCACGTTTTGAAACATGGTAATTAAGTGTAGCGAAGAAACCATATTTCAAATCAGTTAATTTATAATATTTATGCACTGTAAATTTATATTATATATACACTGTTTTGATAAAAAATAAAATATCAATTAAGAACACTGAATTGTAATATCTTACTGTTCTTACTTTTATTATATATATATATATATATATATATATATATATATATATATATATATATATATATATATATATATATATTAAAATCTAGTTTGGCTTGTGTGTGTGTGTACTTTTTTGCATAGATATATGCATTTGGAAGAGTTATTTCAAGCAATATGATCCCATTTAAAAGACACATGTTCACAGGAAAATACATTAATATTTATAAATTTTTATCGACGTCAGCAACCAATTCTTCTCACCTATTTTAATTTGTGATGTAAATCCTCAAGCACAAACACTCACGTAGACAACATCAAGCTATATAAACTGATTGTACCCCAGTTTAGGGTTCGATAACTCATTAAGTGACCCTTAAAAAAAATCACTCTGTGATTCGACAAAACACAAGGCCATACATAATATTTTCAGTAATTATCTAATACTTTATGTTGGAAGATACTTTACGAAAAAACAATAAAATTAAAAATAATACAAAATTTTGTTAGATTAATTTTAAA